TACTCATTGTATAAAATATTGGTAAGAATTGTTCAGTATTAAGCTTTGTTGCGCTTTAAACTATTTATAAAAACATAATACAATAAAATATTTTAATTTAATGTAGATTTAATCGGCAAATATCGTAAATAAGTATATATAATATTTTAGTTTATTTATTTTACTTATGTATCATACGCTCCATATGTTCAACCCATGCGGGTTCCCAATTTTCCAGATAATTGATTCTATCATGAATGGGCGCTAATTGAACCACATCGATCATCTTGCTCAGTCTTGCCCTGAGATCAACTAGGTCAGTTTCAGTGCCTTTCAGGTCTTTCATTTCGGGCGAGTCCTTCAAAATAGTGGTCTCAAAGTGTTTCACATCGATCTTCACTTTGGCCTCGAGTGCGTCAAACCGTGCGTACAGTTGGCTTCTCTGGCGCTCAAAGTCGGCGTCCAGTACTCGTCCAGCGCTCACTGGTTTAGGACAATACTTATTATAATTGCAATTTAAATTATGGTCATTTTATTTTTATTATATTTTACTATATTTATAAAAATATTAATTAGTAAACTTACCAAGCGCAATAGCTAACGCAATAATTAACAAGTATTTCATTGTGATTAATATAACAAATTTAAATGTTATTAGTTAATTAAGTTATATTTGTAATTTATGTGGTTTATATATGTTTTTTGTTATTTCTTTTTAATCTGGGATTAATATTATTCCGTGTGATACAGGATATCACAACAAAATAAGGCTAATCAATTACTCGAACAATCCACAGTAGTAAATGACATGTATACTGCCTTGATAACAATGAAAGTCATACAACAAAAAGGCATAGTTCAAAGTGTAACACTTACTTAACATTGAACTAGTATTTCCAACACTGTATGAAATAGGTAAAGGGGTTATCAAGGTATTTATAGAACAAAAGTACTAAAAAAGATTGATAAAATTTTTTAATTGATTATATATAGGAATTAATTATATAAATAAGATTCTAATCATAATTTATTTATTAAAATCCTAATAAACTGATTACTATTTATACATTTGTTGTGAACAATATAATTTAGTGAGCGGTAACAATGAATGAGGTACGAATTTATTGGTGTAGCATCTTTTCCATGTGCTCGACATACATGGGTTCCCAACTTTCCAAATAAGCCAATTCCCGTTCGACGGGCTCCAGACCCTCGACACTAACGGCGGCTTTAATCATAGGTCTGAGTGCCTCTAAGTCCACGACTGAGCCCTTCAGCTCTTTCTGCTCCACAGAGTCTCGCAGTTTCGTTGTGTCGAAGTGTTTGATATCATTTTGGGTCAGTTTCTCCTGTGAGTCAACTCTGGCCACCAGTTGTTGTTTGTATACCTCCAGCGGGTCCGATGCCGGCGCCGCGTGAGCTGTGTTTGGTGTTAATTGACATTATTTGTTAGTTTGATTTGATTTTGTTAAGCAGAATTAGTTGTATGCGTTATATCAACATGCTTAAAAAACAATTTTTATATACATTTTATTTTTTAAATAGTTGGTCATTTTAAACACTATATTATATTAAATTATTTAAAATAATATTAACAATACAAACAAATATAATATAGTTATTCTAAACTTACCGAGAGCAATAAGAGTAACAGCGAGTACCAATACAAACTTCATTTTAAATTAAGTGGGTGCTAAAAGTTTTATTACTTAAAATTTTAATATAAAAATAATTTAAAGACTGAATTAACGTTTTTTATTAAGTTTTGTGTATTTATATGTTTTATTAATTGGTTTTATGCAGGATGTTTGATCATGCCACTTATTGATATTGTCTATATTGTTCCTTTAGACGATCCTGATTAGTTTTTAAGAATTATATTTAAGCATTCAAATTATTTAATTTCTAAGTAATTTACTTTATTATTTTTGAAAATGATAATAATAGTATGATTGATTGAATTAATATTAAAACACTATCATGGTATGGGTCGGCTTATTTAATTTGATACCGCTAGAACATTTATGCTATTATAATTTATAAATCTATAATAATCAAAATAAAATTATTAATTTTTTATTTAACTATATTTAATTGTTTTCAAAATAAATATTATTTTAATTTAATTTCTTATTCACTAATTTATTGATTGCAAACTTATTTCTAATAAACATAAAGTTCTAGTAATTCTCATGAGAATTAATGATAAACTAATCAATTTTGATAAATTAAAAGCATTTCATTATCAGTTGTACAGAAGCCAAGAATATAACATTATTTATTATGTAGTTTTAATAATAATCCCACTTTTTATTTAACAATTAAGTAAACACTTGACATTAAATAAAACAAAGGAGAGTAGCAATCAGTTCGGGGTATTATAGTTATTATTATTTGGTTTATGAAATTTCAATTATAATTATATTAATTATCTTATAATTTATGTTGACTCAAAATTTATTGTTTATAAGGTTATATTTTATTTGTTTTTCAACTTTTTATTTAAATAAAGTTATTTATTTTAAAAATTATCATGTTTATTTAATATATTCAATAACTACAGGTTGCGGTTTATTGACTTGTAAAAAGCAATGAATTAAGATTTATAATTGAATTTAACCTTAATTAACTTTTTAATTTAAAATATCATGTGATAGAACAAGATGTTCTTATAAGATCAACATTGTTGTTATACTTAACACTAGCAATTACTGTAATAATATTGATATTAACATCTTTACACCACAAACTTAACATTAGGGTCACACATAAGATAACAATAATAAGATTATTTTAATATTATTTTTAAAATAATTTAATTTTAAATAGA